ACACACACATACACACACCCCATGTACAGATAGTAGTATGTATAATATGGTAAAATATATTTAACAGTAGAAGTATAATAAAAATAATCTAATACTTTGTTGACTGAGAGGGCACTTGAGGATCTACCTTTTGGGTCCATCATTATGGGTGTCAATTTCCTTTATAGGCTGTTATACACATGCAAGGTTGGGAAGTGGAAATGATTTATTACACTATAAAAGACGTCTACTAAAAGCTGTTTTCTTTTTTTTTCTTAATTTTTTTAAATGTTTTATTTATTTTTGAGACAGAGAGAGACAGAGCATGAGCAGGGGAGGGGCAGAGAGAGAGGGAGACACAGAATCTGAAGCAGGTTCCAGCCTCTGAGCTGTCAGCACAGAGCCTGATGCGGGGCTCAAACTCACGGACTGTGAGATCATGAAGTCGGACGCCCAACCGATTGAGCCACCCAGGCGCCCCTCTTTTTTTTTTTTAATTTTTAGTACGTATTTATTTTTGAGAGAGAGACAGAGACAGAGTGTGTGAGGAGGAGAGGCAGAGAGAGAGGGAAACACAGAGTCCGAAGCAGGCTCCAGGCTTTGAGCTGTCAGAGCCTGACATGGTGCTTGAACTCACAAACTGCAAGCTCATGACCTGAGCTGAAGTCATGTGCTTAACCGACTGAGCCACCTAGGCACCCCTAAAAGCTGTTTTTAAAAAGCTTTGGTAGCGGGATGCAGAGTGGTACAGTATATAAGTATACAAACCCCACAAGACTTGATTTTTATGCCAGTTTCTGTGTATGTCATTGTGGATGAGTTACTTAATTCTGATTTTGTCTAGTTTCTGCTCTTAGTAATTGTGAGAACTAAAAGAGATAATGTATGTAAAAGTGGTTTGAAATGCATAATTAATATTCAAATGTAAGTTTTAATTATTATTTTTCTTTTACAAATCTCATTTTTTAAAAGGTACAGTAAATTTGGTTGTTTAAAGCTTCTAGCTGTTTATTTTACAGTCTGTGGGAGTTTACCATAATATGCATAGTTTTGTTTCTGTTAAACGTTCTATATAATTTCATTTTGGAAGTAGCTAAAGACCTTTTTTAGAAATTCAAATCTTTTGCAGGGGAGATTTGTGCCAATATTTTGTACTGTTCCAGACAACAATAGCAATGATAAAAACCACACCACCGGCATGAATGTGGGGCAATACTTACCTTTTAGTGATTTATTGCTTTATACTCAGATGGAAGTAACTATTTGAAACTATTCAGTCAGAGAAAGACAAAAACCCCTATGATTTCACTCCTATGTGGAACTGAAGAAACAAAACAGAAGAAGAACATGGGGGTGGGAAGGAAAGGCAAACCAGGAAACAGACTCTTAACTACAGAGAGCAAACTGAGGATTGCTGGAGGGGAGGTGGGTGGGGAATGGGCTAGATGGGTGATGGGGATTAAGGAGACTTGTCCAGATGAGCACAGGGTATTGTGTGTAAGTGATGAATCTCTAAATTCTACACTGGAAACTAACTGTGTGTTAACTAACTGGAATTTAAGTAAAAACCTGACAGAAAAAAGAAACTATTCATAACTGATACCAAAATTGTGAAATGAAACCTTCGATAATTTATCAGTCTCAGAACGTAATTGCTGTCACTGAGGACACTGTTGAATGCAATTTTTCTGGTATCCTTTTCTTTCTCTAGGTTCGAGCCTTCACATCCAAAGGACCTGGACCATTTTCTGACACAGTAAAGTCCAGAACCTCAGGTATTCATTACCTAAAACCTGTGTAAAAAACAATTCGTATTTTAAAAACATTTTTGACCCTTGGTATTCTCAGGGATATGAATGCTGTTTCTGAGCTGAAGTTAAAGTCAAATAACCAATTTTTTATCACCAAACACACTTAACAAATCTGAGCTTAGGGCGCCTGGCAGTGTTGATTGAGACTGGAACAGTAGATGAACCCAGAGAAGACCCATGGATTTCAGAATAGCCTGATAGTGAATCAAGGGATTTTGCCAAATGAAAGTTTTTTTTTTCTCTTATATGTATTATCTACTTGTTTTTTGTTTTCAGAAATCAACCCATTTCCATATCTCATGACTCTTTTTGACAGCAAGATCGTTTTATTAGATATGGATCAAAATCACGTTGCATGGACATTTTCAGCAGAAGGAGACATCAGTACCATGGGCTACACAGCTGATAATGGAATGGGATATTATGCTCAAGGAGACTCACTCTGCCTTCTGAACATGCACAACAGATCCAGCTCTGAGGTATTTCACTATGTAACTATTCTGGAAGGAAGGACATGGATAATTTACATATCACACCACCCTATAATTAAATAGGCTGGTCAGTGGTCGAGCCATTAAGATTAGAATGGTTGGAAAGGACAAATGTTGCGTAATTATTTAGTCACAAATGAATAGTGATTAGATTTTGGGCAAATATCATTCAGGATTAATTTTGCAAATAGTTTTATTTGGTTTAAGGCACTGTGTTAGTTCCTGGGATAGAGGTAAAAAAGAAAAAAAAATCACAGTCTTTGAACAAACCCAGTCTGGTATCAGTCTAACACTAGGAGGACAGTAGTGTGTAATGATTCATGGCTGAGCTTTGGGATCTGAAATTTAGAACTTAATTCTGGCTTCGCCATTTACTAGATCTGTGACCATCAGCAAGTTATTTAACTTGTGGCATCTCTTCACATGGTTCCTGTGAAGATTAAATGAGATGACCGACGTAAGGCACTTAGCACAATGCCTGGCATGTGGTGGCATTCATTGAGTGTCAGCTAGTGGAACAGACAGACAGAAGACGTTATCGTGCTATGCTGAGGGCAGGATGTGGTGGCATCACAGAAAATGGATGATCAATCCAGGTTGGAGTGGTTGAGTGGAAAGACACCTTGGGAAGATGAGCCAGGTGAAGGTGGGAAAAACTTAAGGGGTAGCAAGTGCAAAGACAGGAATACAAGAGAGCCATAGCACATCCAGGAGGCTGAAAATAGAGTGAGCTTGGAATGAAGGTGGGAGTGAGGGTGAACAAAAGACAGGTGAAAAAGCTGAAGTAGTAGGGAGGGGCCTGAATATAATGGGCCTCCTTAACTGTGCTAAGGTGTGGAGGGCCAATCCTGAAGCCAACATCAAGCCATTAAAGAAATTTAGTGGGTCATTCACATGATCAAGTTATGTTTTAGAAAGACCTCTCTATTCGTGGTGTGAATCATGACTTAGAGAACGTTAAATCTGTGACACTTAGGAGGCTATCACAGAAAGCCAGACAGGAAATGTCAGGCAGGAAATGAGAGCCAGTGAGGTGAGAAAGGAGACGACCAATTTGGGACATATTTCAAACGGGACTAATTCAGCGTGGGGAGTCATGAGAGGAAGATGTCAAGGATGAACCACATTTGTCAGGATTGCTGCTCAGGTGGATGTTGGAAATCCATAAAAATGTAATCTGTAGGAGAAAAGAAGGGTTTGGGGTGGAGTAATGAATTCTGTTTCCTGGGATCATTCGTATGGAGATGTTCAGTAGTCAGTTTGGATCAGTAACTCGGTGAGGGATATTGCTACTGTTCTTGTAGCACTGGTCAATGGATTACAGTTGAAGTCAAGGTAGTGGAAGCTAACCAGGAGAAAGAATACAATGTGAGAAGAGAAGAGGACCAGTGTTACAATGGTACACAGTACAGAGCTATTGACGTTTTGGATTACAGAGAAGTGCAGTAAACAAGTAATATGGTAGATTACCGAAAAGTCCTCAGATTTGGGGGGAAAAGAATGACCACTCTCTCCTTGGCTGTGTTTTCTACCTATTGTTAAGATTTTCCGAGATGCACTGGTCTTTGATATCACAATTATTACAATTGACTGGATTTCAAGGCATCTCTACTTTGTGCTAGAAGAATCACAAAATGGCATGCAAATATTTGATGTTGATCTTGAACACAAGGTGAAGTACCCCAGAAAGCTGGACATTTGCAATAGAAATTCAACAATAATCTCTTTTTCTGTATATCCTTTTTTAAGGTATGTAAAGTATGAGTATCTGTTTCTGTTGTGATGAAATAGAGGCATATTCAATACAATATCTTTGGTTTAATATTAGAAGCTATTGATGGGAAAATAAGATGCTTACGGTCCTTGACTAGCTATATTAACTTATAGTAAGTAACTCCCCACGTTAATTATGAGCCCATAGCCACAAATATGCAAATTTAATCCATACTGACAATTTGGCTAACCTAAAGTTAGGGTCATAACCAATAGGAAACTAAAGCAGATTTTCATACCAGTGGATTTCCTAATAACCTCAGATGATAAGGATGAGAAGAGGACTGAGACAGTGGCAGGAGATGAACAGGAGATAGACAGCATGTCATGCTAATGCTATTCTGGGCTCACCCATCTTTAATTAATGTCCTTGTAAGATGAGTTTTAAGGCCTCCATTCACCAACTGATAGCAGTTTTTCATGCTGAAAGATGTATTTTATTTGTGTCATAAGCATGGTTATTCTATTTTGAAACTAGATTGTTAACGGGCATTAAGAAGCAGAAACAAACTTGAGAGGAGGGGAATGGAGACGGGTGTTGATGAAAAGTAGGCAAATGTATTTCACATGTACAGCCGTTAATGAACCATTCAGTATACCACCCTCAGGTCATTTTAGTCCAAGGCTTTAGTTGTAAACACATTTATTGAGAAATCATGGGAAAATGGTACAAACTAGATTGCTTTTGGCCCCCTCCATCTCAGAAGATTATTGCACATGTGGACACATTCTCTCCAAAGGCTGTGTTTGTCTCTCCAGTCGTTAGGAATGATTAATCTTCATTGGAAACTAACGTTTGCAATAATATGCTTTACTCATTAAGTTGGAGGGTCTTTTTTTTTCCCCCATAGTCGCCTGTATTGGACAGAAGTTTCCGATTTGGGCCCCCAGATGTTCTACTACAGTATTATCAACCAGACCTTGAGTCACATTCTTCCACCCACAGCCACAAACCATTCAAATGGAAGGAAACAGTGTTTTTGCAGCATTACTCAATTCGAGTTTAGTGGAGCAATGACTATTGACACCTCTGATCTAGAGAGACCACAGATATATTTTGTCAAAGGGCAAGAGATCTGGGCCATGGATCTGGAAGGATGTCGGTGTTGGCGAGTTATCATGGTGCCTACTCTGCTTGGTAAGATATCTATGTGTGTACATAGATACCCATTAGTAATGGTGGCCCTTCCTGTTCAATTAAAAAGGGTGTGCATTCTACATGTATTCAAAAGAATACACACATGGTTATTTGCTCTGGACCATGCCAAATGTTCCCAAAGAATTCAAGTCAAGTTGTTTCCAGGCAAATTGTGCACAGACGTTCACACAATTTTCTGGATCTGTGGTTTTATTGTTGTTGTTATCTTATAATTAACAGTAGAGCTATAATTCATTAAGTTTAACTACATAGCCTAACCAAGCTACCAAATGTATTATCTCATTTAATTTTCAAAACACCTTGATGAAGTAGATAATAGTATGCTCATTTTACAGATGAGAAAACTGAGACCCAGAAAGGTAAGGTATTTGTCCAAAAGGCTACAATTAGAGGAGGATCTGCGGTTGGAAAGTGGGCCTAACTACAACATCTGTGATCTTACTACCAGTACCCTACTTTACTTCTGTTTTGATGATCTCATTGACTCCGCATTTAGCATGAGTTTATCAATACTTGACATCACGTGCTTGTGGAGGAAATACTTAAATGTCTGAAGTGATTTGGAGGTCTCCTAATTAGGAGTAATTGCAGCAGAAAAAAAAAATGCACTCTAAATACCTCCATACATTGTTAAGAGTCTACTCTTCACTGTTCAAGGTAGTAGCAACTAGTCACATGTGATTTAAGTTCAAGTTAATTAAGATTAAACAAAATTAAAAGTTTAATTCCGCAGTCATGTTAGCCACATTTTAAATACTCAAACCACAAGTGGCTAATGGTTACTGTATTGGTCAGTGTAGACATAAAATATTGCCATCATCAGAAGTGTTTTTGGACATTGCTGGTCTTTATAGTAAAGTTTTGAAATTACAAACGTATGTGTGTGCATGTGTGTGTGTGTGTGTGTGTGTGTGTGTGTTAGTTATAACTGCACACATGGTTTTGTTGACATGTTACCCAGAGCCTTTTTTAATATACTTTCAATGGGCTTAAGAGTAGAGATGTATTTTGAACTTCTCGTATTAGGAGAATTACTTGTTTCTGTTGAATCTGTGACACAGACTCCTTCCTTGATCAAATGTTCCCCTTTTCTCAACTGGGCCTTGACCTGAGTCTTCCTTGTCTGTCATTGTTGAGTCTGGTTTTAGCAAGAATCTTGCTAAATCAGTTTAGGGATAACCCCTCCACCCTTGGTATCTGATCAAGTCCTTCATCTCCCACACTTGATTTCTCGGGTTGCCTTTAGCAAAAATCATAGGAAGATTAGCAAGAATCTCCCTACCCTCGATGTCTTCTCTTAGTAATTTTCTATCCACTGACCCCATAATTTTGCTTGTTGGCTTTGAATCCCCAGCTTTCTTTGTTGTATGTGAAGTTGAGCACATCTCTCTCTCCTATTGCAATATTGCAACAGTCTTAACTAAAGTCTTTCTTACCATTTAAACAAGTGTCAGAATAAATTTTCTTTACCATCTGATACACAAGAATTATCTAGTAGGCCATTATCTTATAGATATAGAATTGGTTAGTCTTTCAGGAATCCATAATTGAAATTTATAACCCTAAAATTAGAAAATTTGAATGACTTTAGAGATGTTTTAGCTGGAATGATATTGGAAGAAATCCCCTCTACAAAAACACCCTTGCTTGAATAATACCCGTTTATAAAAAAATATGTCTTTATAAGGAAATTTTTTATTTTTTGAATAATTCTAAATATTAGATTTTTTCCTTACATTTAGCCAAAATTTTCTCCCCATTTCTCCCATTCATTGATCTGAGTTCTGGCCTCTAATTTTATACAGAATAAATCAATCACTTTCTACATGATAGCCATTCAAGTATGTAGTGACTTCTGTCATAGCTCATTTTCCTTTGGAGGAAAAATTCATGTATTTGTAACTACTCCTCACATGATGTGGCTTCTAGATCTTTCTTTGCCCTAGTAACCCTCCTGTTGTTTCACTCCAGCTGCTTAATATCCTCTTAAGTGTCACCCCCATAGTGACCCCCTGTACTGTCGATGTGTTCTGGTTAGTGCAGGGGGTCTCTGACTTCCTCTGTCTTCTTTTATTGAAGCTGAAGGTGGCATCAGGTCTTTTGGCTGCCTGCCGTTTGAAGAACCCATAGTTTTTTTCATGTTAACTATTATTAAGCCAGATTTCTTTCATTTGTTATTTTTAGAATTGATCTTAAACTTGAATTTAGGGTGTCACATTTATTCCTATTACATTTCAATCCATTTCCTGATTTTGTAGAGATATTTTCAAAGTTTAAGTCAGTAATTGAACATACTAGTGTCAGCAAGGATCAGGTATTATCTACAAAATTGGTAAGTGTACTTACCCTGTGTTTATTCCAAATTACTGATAAAAAATACTGAGCAAGACACTGAGCCCTGGGCCCGTCGTCCAACACCTCCATTCCAGTAGGTATTGTTTGATGTGGAGTCACACAGGTTAAGTTGAAAATCTTGGCTCTGGTCTTTACTAACTTTGTGGCCTTTGAGGAGATTATTGAACTCCTTAAAGCCTCAGTTTACACTTCTAGAAAATGAGGCCAATTATAATAGTATTTACCTTATTGGCTTGGTATGGAACTAAAATGAGAAAACATCTGTAAAATCCTTGGCCTAATGACATAAAACAAAGGTGGTATTTTTTTTTTCTTATTGAAATGATAGAAATATTAAAAATTAGCAGTTACAATACAGAAAAAGGATTTCACATATTGTTTTGAGTAGAAAACGTGAGTTACGTATTTTGTTGTTTCTGTTCTTTATTTGATGTTTTTCATGAGCAGGAGAAATGCTTGAAAGTTTAACTGTGGATAGGGAATTTCTCTACTGGATCTCCTCAGCAAAGGACAGCACACAGATTTATCAAGCAAAGAAAAGCAATGGGGCCATCCTCTCCCAGGTGAAGGCCCAAGGGAGTAAGCATATCTTGGCTTACAGTTCAGTTCTGCAGCCTTTTCCAGGTAATAAAATCACACTGTTCATCAGCACGTTCTCCCGTCTGGGGTGGAGGCGGAAAAGTCTCAGAATATCTCCTTCTCCAGGCTGCCCCCTCAAGCCCTTCGTTGTGTGCTCAGTGTTGATCCAAACTGCCAGGATGGGTGCACGCTGTGATTGCTGTTTGCCCTGGGTCACAATTGATCTCCGTGTGTATACATGACTTGAGTCGTCCTAGAGAGTTTTAGACATGGGAAACCCTTGTCTATCATTCTGTCTCCTTTTCTCTTTGCATTCTCATAATTTCTTTTCTGTCTTTTTTTCTCCTCTGACAATATTTTTAGAAATCCCCGTTGTGTCAAAAAGCACTGCATAAAATTTCAGGTCTTTTTCAAGGTAAAGTGCTTTATTTGTTGTGGTATTATGTATGTCAACTGTTCATCATGTGTACGTGTGTGCTATCATTTTTGCTAAGTTCCTCCCTTTTTTTAAATGTGTCACTCGTTAAGTTTTTTAGTGTTGTGCTTCTGTCTCCCTCAGAGACCCTGTGGATTTTATTAATCAATTTTGTAAAATGCAATGACTTTTAGGAATGTGTGGATGGCACTATGGCGGAACTAACTATATATTTTCTGAGAGTCATAATACTAATAAAAAAGTTTGAACTCTAAAAGCCAACCGACCAAAATTAAAAACATTACATACACTGAGGGTGGCCTTCAAACCTAAAGAGGTTTTTAGTTTTTTCTCAAGCTATCTGCCATTAGGGTTGCAATATCATTTTAAATTAAGCATAATTACCCCCTAGAGAGGGGCAGAAAGAATTGAAAAAACTCTCTCTGCTTAAATGTATTCAGTTATAAAATAGGAAAAAAATGGGAGAATTTATAAATAAGCCAGGTGCCTATTTTGGTAAAGTAGTTCACTTTTCATTTTGAGAAATTTAGGAGATTTGGTAAGTCCATTAAAAGTCTGTTTGAGATTGGAACGCACACATATACCTGCACATCCTTAAAAATAAAAGTTCTAAAGCTAGCATGAGTTTTTTTTAACTGGAATTAATTTTAAAAATATGGTTAATATTTAAACATTTTTTTTAACATTTATTTATTTTTGAGAAAGAGAGACAGAGCATAAGTGGGGGTGGGGCAGAGAGAGAGGGAGACACAGAATCCGAAGAAGAGTCCAGGCTCTGAGCTGTCAGCACAGAGCCTGATGGCAGAACTGGAACCCATGAACTGCGAGGTCATGACCTGAGCTGAAGTTGGACGCTTAACAGACTAAGCCACCCAGTTGCCCCCTTCCCAATTTGACTAATGTGCTGTCACTACTGTCTTCAAAGTAGAAAAAGGCTCAGCTTGATTTTGCTGTGATCTGTGTACCTTATTCAGTGTACTTTAGCTCCCCCTGCTGGAAATTTTAATCAATGATCCGTTACCTTGCTCCCTTTTTTCTGAGGCATTTAACAACTTCAAAATGTGTGGGAAAAACACCCGTCTTTCTTTCCTGAATAACATTTCCAATACTTCAATATATCACACCTTGTCAGCCAAGTATAAAAACGTGTTATTACCCTTGATGTTAAATAAATCTGCTGTTCCTCTTTCATACATATATGTATGAAATATGTGTATATTTTGAATCTTTTCTTATTATTTTAGATAAAGCATTACTGTGTCTAGCTTCAGATGTCGCAGAGCCAACTATACTTAACACCACTAACAGCAGCCTCACAATCCGATTACCGCCCACCAGGGCAAATCTCACGTGGCACAGCATCACTTGCCCTACTCCAACATACCTGGTTTATTACCAAGAAGTTAATGGCGGGAAAAATAGCTCTGGGCTGAAATATAAAATGCTGGTAAGATGGGAGCTGGTGGTCTTTGTCTTTTCACAAGATCCTGTTTCTGATATAAAATTCTCTCTCACAGTAAACTGTTTTCTATATTATATCCTGAAGCACGCTACTGTGCAAACTTTTACGGCTGATCCATCAAAGCAATCTTGTCTGGGAGTTAAGCTTCAAGGAAATATATTTATTAACTATGACCAGTGGTGGATTGCCATAGTGACAGTTTCCTGAGTGTCCTGGGAGAACTGGTTTGTTGTCTTCCCTAATTATCCCCAGAAAGTGATAGAGACCTGTTTTTATGACCTATGCAGCAGATTGCAGATTGAAGGGTAAGAAATGATTAGACAGAAAGAACATTACTGTATAACCCTCCTCCATAGCATCTATTTAATATAAAAATGGTATGTTCTATTTTTGTCTGTCATTTCCTGTATGCTGTTATGTAGGGAGTATGTCGGGTTTTTTTTCATCATTGTATTCTTAGCACCTAGCATAGTAGTTGCCTTTGTAGAGGCTTTCACTAGTTATTTCTTGAGTGGATGAATTAGTTGGCACAATTCACTCCATTGTTGGCACTGATGTTTCAGTTGTCCTTGTGATGGAGTCATATGTATTCAATATTTTGCTCTGTGCTTGCTATTCAACCACATCAAGAGGTGAAATTGACCATCATCATCTGTTGGAAGTTAAACACTATATACTTCACCAGAAAGGACACATGATTCTTGTTATTTCCTTTGTCTATTTTAACCTCTCTTTACACATTTCAATGTTTCAGAGACAGATTGGATCATTTGGCTGACCAAGATTCGGCTGGTGGCACTGGATGTTTCTGTTACCACAGCCAGTCTATCCTACACATTGATTAATATGGGTCAAAGGCAATGGGTCTCAAACCTGACTGCACATTGGAGTTTTAAAAACCTCTGGGCCCACACTTCACCTCAGACCAATGCAATCAGAATCTCTGGGGGTGGGATCCAGGCACAAGTGTTTTCTTAAAACTTTCCAGTTGATTCCAAAATACAACCAAAATTGAGAACTGATGGTCTAAGGACAGTGTTTTTATTTTATTAAACTTTACCTTTAATAATGATTAAGTCATTCAGCCAAATATTTTATCATATTCACTTATGTGTCAAATCTATTTAACAATTTTTTTAATGTTTATTTATTTTTGAGAAAAGTGAGACAGAGCATGAGCAGGGTGGGGCAGAGAGAGAGGGAGACACAGAATCCGAAGCAGGCTCCAGGCTCCGAGCTGTCAGGACAGAGCCCAACACTGGGCTTGAACTCATGGACCGAACCATGAGATCGTGACCTGAGCCAAAGTTGGACATCCAGGCACCCCTGTGTCCCATCTTTACCATACCATCTTGCTGACCTTTGTATGCAAAGCTAGTGAATTAGTATCTTCTTCTGAGAACTTAGCTTCCTATGTGAAATGAGCATGTCATTGAAAATGGACCGATCATCTGGTATTGATTCTTGGAGATAGTAAGCAACTCAGGTCTGGGCAGATTAGGGCAGTGAACATTATCATTCTCTTGATCCAATATCAAAAAATAAATTAACTTAAAAGATCTTTTAATTATTGTATCCCTTTGGTTAATTTCTCCTCATTTGTATGAAAAAATAAGAATCTGATATTGAGTTTTAAAAATTAATTACAGGAATTTCAGGAGAGGATAGCGTTTATTGAAGGTTTACAACCATTTTCAACATATGTGATACAGACAGCTGTAAAGAATTATTATTCAGATGCTGTGGAACAGTTACCTCTGGGAAAGGAGATTTGGGGAAAAACTAAAAGTGGAGGTGAGTTATGGGCTTGGGTGGGTTTCTAGACAGGCATTTTGTGATATACGTGACATATACGTCTATATTTGTGGTTTTTAAAATTTGGATGCTAAGTAATCTCTATTATGTGAGCTTTTTAAACTTAATAAGAAAATGTATTATTGACAATACTCTGATAACCTGATTTTTGCTCTAACAACAGAAGATGAATAATACTCCATCAGAATGAAACACAACTAGAAGGTGAAACATCAGAATCAATACTGTTTGACCAAGAAACACATTTTCCAGTCTCACCACATAGTGTCACCCTCTCCCCACATAGTCACAGGTCTCATCCTGTGGCGATGCAGAATTAAGCCTTTGCTCTGTGTGAATTTTACTCAGGACACTTGAGATTTAAAGTAAATAGCATCATTGCCTGAAAGAAAATGAATCTAGATCTAAAAAGGTTTTCTGAGAGGTGGTGATTATTTTGAGGTCACACCATTTCTTTCAGAGGTCTCTGATGACATTCCCAAAACTAATCTGAATTGGTTTGTTCATCATCATTGGCCATATCATTGAGCTGGAGTCAGAGAATGCTTTAGTCGTTAGGCAAAAATAAGCAAGAGCCTTTCAGGCAGCCTGTTAACTTGCCATTTTATAAGAGGTTGGCTTTCCTTTAGAATATTGGCCATTCGTTCTGCTCACGTGATATGATTATTCCTCAGCCAGAACCCCATTCCTTCTTCCATCTTTCAGTGCTGATGCAATATCCCTTACCATGCATTGCTATTTATTTCAGTGCCAGAAGCAGTTAGGCTCATTAACACAACTGTGCAGTCAGACACCCGCCTACTTGTATCCTGGGAAGAATCTCACAAGCCAAATGGACCTATGGAGTCAGTTCGCTATCAGCTGGAAATCTCACATCTGGCCCTAATTCCAGAGACTCCTCTAAGACAAAGTGAATATCCAAATGGAAAACTCTCTCTCCTTGTTACTAGACTATCTGGTGGAAAACCGTATGTGTTAAAGGTATAGTAAGTGTATGGGGCACTTTTATTGCCATGCTCAAGTGCAAGGTTCCGAAAAGGTTAAGCAATTGTTCTTTTTTACAAAAAGGTTCTGGCCTGCCATGCTGAGGAAATGTGGTGTGCCGAGAGTCATCCTGTCACTGTCAAAATGTTTGACACACCAGAGAAACCCTGTGCCTTGGTTCCAGAGAACACTAGTTTGCAATTAGAATGGAAGGCTCCATCTAATGTTAACCTCATCAGATTTTGGTTTGAACTCCAGAAGGTAGATCTCACCATACTCTTTTAATGCAAATCTATGTTTTGTGCTATGGGATAAATTAGAAGACCTTTTTTTCATATCTCTAGAGTATTCTCTTGTATAAACCAACAATATATTTGACAACATTCATTGATTTAGGCTGGCTTGCCATTTACAGAATCTATCTAGACTCATTTCTGATGGAAAGAATTCCTAGAGACATTCGTTGCTCTTAAAAGGCTCCGTGGAAAGGGTTATAAGCTACGGTTTACTGGTTTTCATAATATTTTACTTAGTTTAGATGTTATCAGCATGGCTGTCTAGTGTCCAGCAATTTGGTATTTCCAATGAAGAAAAAGAAAAGGAATGGACAAGCAAACAAAACCCAAATCCTTGTCTAGAAATGTTCTTTCAACCGTTTAAAGGCTGTATAGCAACAGGAGAGAAGTAAAATATAAGACCAATTTATTCTGAACCAGTTGGATCTTGGCTTATAAACTTTAAACTGTTCTTCATCCAAAATTCTCCACGCTTTAACTAATATAAAAATATCCGCTGAATTTCAAATATCAATTAATCTAATTAATTCACTGCTGAGGAAAGTCTAGGTTGATTTTTGTATTGATACACTTAAAATGGATTATTTTTTAGAATTGCTACATTTCATTTTCAGTATTATTTATTTTGTGTGTCTACATTCGTAAAGTTTGGTTAGGAATCTTTTGTTCAGTTGTAACAAAAACAAATCAGTATAGTCATGGCCTCGCTTTTTTTTCAAAAATGGAGTTGCTTCCCAGGATGTTTTTGAATTTTACTATGTAAGATTTTTTTCTATGATCTTACATTTTTAAGATAAAATCCATGAAAACTATGAAACAATAGTGAATGTCGAGTTCATAAAACCAAAAGCTGTAGTTTATTGGACTTTTTTCATCAAGCGTGCTTGTGATGATTTGCTGCCTATTTAAAAAAGTGTCATCTTATATCGGGGCGCCTAGGTGGCGCAGTCGGTTAAGCATCCGACTTCAGCCAGGTCACGATCTCGCGGTCCGTGAGTTCGAGCCCCGCGTCAGGCTCTGGGCTGATGGCTCGGAGCCTGGAGCCTGTTTCCGATTCTGTGTCTCCCTCTCTCTCTGCCCGTCCCCTGTTCATGCTCTGTCTCTCTCTGTCCCAAAAATAAATAAAAAACGTTGAAAAAAAAATTTTAAAAAGTGTCATCTTATAAAAATGCAGTTAAATTGGAGAAATTGGAGGATCACCTTTTATTAGACATCTATTTAAGGAAGCTCAGTGCAGTTCAGTTTAAAGGCAAAGTGGGGGATGTGAAGTTTACTTCTGACATCAAAGAAATGTGATGGGGAAGGACCTTATAGCTGGTGACTCTAAGCCCCTCCTGTTACTGATGAGAAGTCGGAGATCCAGACAGGTGCCATAGTGAGTCAGATATCACCAGCCAGGCAGGGAAGAGCCCCAGGGGTTGACTCATCCTACAGCAGTCCTACTTGGGTGCTATCCATGGAAGGAATGTGAGTCACTAAGACACCTACCCCACTCCTCAAAGTTTGGGAGAAGGACAGAGTTCTGGGACTGTCTGGTTCAGTCCTTGTGACTTTCACACAAAGTTTTTTTTGTTTGTTTCAAAACTTCCCCTACACTTGCTGAAAACATGTTCTAGATATACCACTTAGAACATCATGAAGCTGAAAATGTGGGATACAGTAATCATCACATGTGACCATCTACAAGTACTAACTGATGAGCACAGTAGGAGGCTGTGTTCCGAGAGGGTTGATGAGTACCTCCAGTCAGAAAGTTCTATATCTTTAGAGCAACTTGAATCTATCTCATAAAGATAGGATACCTGGGAATGATGGTATAACTCCATACTGGAACTCTAAGAGGGGACTGATAAGGGTGAATATGTGTCTTTTTAATTAAGAATTTTTTTTTTTTTAGAAAGGAGGAGAAAAAGATAAATTTCCAATTTTCATCTTTTCTGTCAAATTTTCCTTATGTGGAAAATGAAGGAATTAAAGCACAAGGCTAAATTTCTATCTAGGTCTTAAATTCCATAGATTTTTTTTTTTTAAATCACAACAGTGTATGGAAGAAGAACATATTTAATTTGAGATTAAGGAGAAGAAACAAGTAGTTTCATTTTGGTAAATTATTTTCCTGGTTGTGCATTAAAATTGAGTTTTTCTCAATTGTCCAGGAAAATTCCTACATTTCTGAAGTTCTGGTCTCTGAGACATGATAGGCTGCACCATTTCCTTCTCACCCCCCATCCAAATAATTTTCAAATCTCTCTGTGGTAGCGTTCACTCCTGCACTTGTTGGCCTCTAACAAGTGGAAGGTCTTGACTCCACTGTGATTTACTGGGGTAGCTGTGGCACCTCCCCAAGTTGGTGGTCTGCCCAGAACATTCATTGCTGTGGTAAGGCCAATAGTCTACTGTTTTCCAGCAGAACCCTTGGTCAAACATCTGACCTTCCAAGGAGCTTTGATAATTTCTGGAGGGTATGGAATGTTGAGCCATCTATTCACTTAAGGTAGTTTATATAGCAGATTATTAAGGAGGCAGGATCACAAAGGGCTAAAATTTTTGAGGTAGAAATCAATATTTGTCTGTCTGTCTGTCCCTCTTTCTTTCCCTCAGTTCAGAGTAGATATTAGGGATCCAATGCGTCTGTTTCTTTAGCCTGTATGTTTTAGTAGGATTGATACATTTATGAGTTTAGCAGGCAATGGCCTGGACATCAGCATTTTTGTTTTTTAATTTTTTTTCATTCCTTCCATTCCCATTTTCCTCTTTTTTTTTTTTTTTTTTTTTTTTTTTTTTTTGTAACAAGGTGGTCTACTTCTTGAAGGTGCTGTAGGAATCATTCCTAGTTGAATAGAAAACTAATATAAAGTGTCCATCCAATGAAATGATGTGACCTTGTGAGTGCTAAATGAAAAACGAGATGTAAAGTAAGGTTTATTTATGGAAACTGACCTTCTTAGGAAACTCTACTGGAGAAAATACACTAAGAACCCTTGACAAAATGCCACATCCTCTGTCTTTCCCTATTTGTACATTGAAAAAAAAAATCACCATTTTCAAATAACACATGAAGGGTCCAAATACACAAATTTTTCAAAAGCCATGCACAAAGAAAGTGTAAGATAGCTATAATTAGAGACCCAGTATCTACATTGGAATTAAAGTAAGATTTCCTATGTTTAACTTCTAACATTTCTACTCAGTGACTGAGTGATGATAGACAAAAATTTCCCTCTTTTAGGGAACTAGACTTCATATGTATAAAAAATAAGGAACGCTGGTTAGACTGAAAAGAGTTTGAAGGGAAAAACTACATGTTTTAATTTATAAGTCACTGTAGACCTGTTGATAGAATCAAAATGTGCAAAAACATTATAATTTTGAAATTAACAATTCCATGGAATTGAAAATGTCATTATTTTGATCCAGCATGGTCCCTCAGCTATGGATTTGCATTCTCAGCCGTCCTAATTTAATGTAGGTGTCTCCAAGGAGGGATAACAAAAAGCTAAGGTCCAGATCTTCCCTAAGGACATCTATGTAATAAGAGGTGCCTGTCCCACCTTGAACTCATCCTAAGAACTGTTATTCAAGTCAGTTATAGCTTGTCACAAACTTAAAATGGCGGTCAGTGGTGGAGATAATGTTTGGGATCAAACATTCATAAAGGAGCACTTATTTTAATTGAAAAGAAATTTTATTTAAATTTTTAATTGCTTGCCATAGACTTGTGAATTCCTATGCTTAAGAAGGTTTTCTTAAAGCACCAAAAATATTAATTGAGGCTTCTTTTTTCCAGTGGAAGTATAATGAGTTTTACCGTGTGAACACTTCATGCATCCAAGGCCCTACTTATGTCTGTAGCATCACAGATCTACAACCTTATATGTCCTATAACATCCGCGTAGTGGTGGTTTATTGGACAGGAGAAAATAGCACCTCACTCCCAGAAAGCTTTAAGACAAAAGGTGAGTACTGATAGCCTCAATGATCCTCAATACTCAAAAAGCCCTGTAAGGTTCTCAATGAGTTTCTTATCACTTATTTCACTAATGCTAGAGGTTAACCTTTTTCTTTTCTTTTCTTTTTGAAGAGGAGTAAATTATTTCTAGAGTTTGAGGTAAGAGTTGAAAAGAATCCGGAGTCTTTACAGGCACTAATGAGATGATACTGAGATAATACCAGGTTTTGCAGAATCCTGAACTGAGCAAGATGATTCCACCTTCCAGTATTCTCTACTTTCTTGTCTATCTGTGACATTTTGCATTGAGAACAAAAGTTAAATGTGTGGTTGAGTGTTCAACAAATATTAACTTATTGACTACTGTATTCTAGATGCTAAAAATTTAAAAATCTAAAAAGAATGCTAATGAGTGTTTTAAAGGGTATACCGTAACTCCAAGTTGATCCCTGTAAGAATCAAGGGGAAAATGCTCCAAAATTTACAGTTTTCTTTATTCACATCACTCATTTTGTGGTGAGCTAACATAATACTGTTATTCCTATCACTGGTCCATCTAATCCATCACTAATAAAAACTTCAGATACTCATTTAAAAATATGCACTCATATGAGAATATTTCTGAATATTTCATTAATGTATTTGACTTTCCTCTCAGTAAATATATTCTGTGGAAAGATGTTATGCAGAATATTTTCTACTTCCGACATACCAATCAGTACTTTCTTATGTTTCCAAAGCTGGAGTCCCAAGTAAACCAGGCATTCCAAAATTATTAGAAGGGAGTAAAGATTCAATACAGTGGGAAAAAGCTGAAGATAATGGAAGCCGGCTTATGTACTATGTCCTTGAGGTCAGGTATGTCTGTTTGCAAAAGTGCTTTGTAAACTACAAAGAGCTAAGTGGTTAATTGTAAGGTATTATTAGATCAAAATTAGCAATATTTATAAATAAATATGAAGGATCTTTAGCTTAAGGATCTTCAGTGCACCATTGTGCTCTCTGCCCAATGCCTAGTGGTCAGCCTTGGCACTCCGATCAGAAGGAGATCACGTCATCCTTCTCAGAAATCTGCAACTACTTGTCAAAACGTTATGGAAATAATCCAGTCATTGGCACGTGCAGCTAATATTTATTTAATTTCTATTCTGTCCAAGAAACAGGGCTGATATTTGATGTTAGACGATGGTATGCATGCAAATTTCTGATGATAATTTGTTTTAGCAAGATGAATAACGTCTGGTGAGAACTGGCAGTGAACCAGGTATATTTCAGAATGTGAAAACAGGTCAAGCACAGAAATGGTCTGAACTATATAGGTTACACTGGATTCTTTATCCTTTGTGAAGAGTATAACTTGCACTGTGTGCCCGAGGGTCTGAAAGCGTGCCTTCAATGAAAACCAGGCAGCTAGTGAACATGTACAACCTCAGAGCTGGCCAGTATGGGGAGCTCTGTATAATGGTAACTGGCTCAGATGAACTGATTTCATGCCAGCTTGAGGGGAGAATTCCAAATTCCACAGACACTCCTCTCATGGATCTATGAAGCTATCTTTTAAGAAGTTCCAAGGACAAAAGTCACTTCCATAATTATAGTCCTGGCAATTTGAGCTTTAGATCTATTTTTGCTCCATCTTGATCTGGCATTCCCATAACCTTAAAAAATTTTCCTGCTCATGGCAGAGGATTACACTGGCCATATTTCTAACTGAAACCTTCTTGTAAATTCTGTTACTGTTTTTCATGCAGAGTCCAATGCATTCTGATCTGCAGAACTGTGTTGGTGGTCTGGGACTCTAATTATATTCGCCAGCCAGCCCATACCACTGTCTTGCTAGGACCCATTTAGTGTGTTCCCTTCAGTGACTCCTTAAGAGCAGAACTCCATACATTCTTTGCATTTTCTTGCCCCAAGCCTCAACTCTCATGACAGGGATAATGGGATAATAATAGAATGAATTGCTGTATCTCAAAGTCACTTCTTCAGTCAGGATACTAGTATACACTAGGTACTTGCTGGTGGTACAGTCGTAGTGATAGTGTGTGAATGTGGAAGCCGAATACACTGTATTAGTGTCCTAACATTGCCATGAGAAAGTACCACCACTGGGTGGCTTGAGACAGCATTTATTCTTTCACAGTTTTGGGGACTTGAAGTCGGAAATCAAGGTATCAGTAGGACCATGCACTTTCTGAAGTTTCTAGGGAAGAATCCTTCCTTGCTGCTTCTTAGCCTCTGGTGATCCAGACTTCCCAGCAATCCTTGGTATTCCTTGGCTTGCAGATGTATCACTTCCAACTCTGGCTCTGTCATCACATGGTGTTCTCTGTGTATATCTGTGCCTATATTCCTCTCTTCTTAAGAAGGCACTGGTCAATGGGGCATCTAGGTGGCTCAGACGGTTAAGCATCTGACTTTGGTTCAGGTCATGATTTTATGGTTCTTGGGTCAAGCCCCACACTGGGATCTGGGCTGACAGGGTAGAGCCTGCTTGGGATTCTCTCTCTCTCCCTCTCTCTCCCTGCACCACCCCCCTGCACTCTCTCTCTCTCTCTCTCTCTCTCTCTCAAAGTAAAAAAATGAACTTAAAAAAATTAAAAGAAGGCACTAGTCATTGGATTTAAGCCTACCCTAATCCAGTATGACCTCATCTTAACTTGCTTACATCTAAAAGACCTTATTTTCAAACAAGGTCACATTCACAAAGTCTGGGTAGGTGTAAGTTTTGGGGGATACTACTCAACCCCGTACCGTGTTTAAATACTTACTTTACTCTTTTTTTTTTAATTTAAGTTTTCTCAACTGTAAAATGGGATGATGATATTTACCTCTTTAGGTTGTTGTGAAAACTCAACAACAGGAAATGAAATAAAAAGCATCAGTATGGTGTGTTATAAATAGAAGATTCTCAACCAATATCAGAATTCTTTCTTGTCTTCCTCAATGGCCAATAACTGTGAAGAGCCATTTTATGAATTTTTAAGTGTTTCTTTCCTTTGAATCAGAGTTGTTGGAATTGAACAATGAAATTGCCAGTGCCTAACACAAGACTTCACAAAATGTACAAAGACATTGTATAAAGAGTCTTATGCAGGATGGTCCCTAGGACACTTAGCTCCTGGCAACAGTTGTGAACAACTCTGCTGCCCTGATCCTCCTGAAGTTCTTGTCTTTTCCCTGTCCTTCAAGGGCTGAGCCTTCCCATCCCTTTCAGGATGTCCACTCAGTTTGTAGAAGCAGAACTAGCTATCCCTAAGCTTACTGTGGGTTGGTACCAAGTCCTAAAACTGTTGTTGTCTGAAAAGTCCCAGACCTGAAAAGTTCTTCATTGTCAGGACATAATTGGAAGGCCTGGAGCTTGTCCTCAGTCTATGATTCTGTTAAAAGCCATTCCATTTATATCTTTTGAGCCCCACTCTTGTGCTCTTTCCATGTTTCATATAAAGAATAATGTGGGTTGACTTGAGGTGGAGTAGATGCCAATAAAAATGGAAGAAATAAACCTTGGAATCTCAGGTATAATGATAATTTTGGTATTCAAACTATTACATCTTCCTTATCAATTTTATGTCCTGTATTTCATTTTATGCAGAGCTATGGTATACATAAACTACACATGGCATAAGAGACTGAGAATTAAGAAAGTATAAAAAATTCCAGGTTAGAAATTATGGAACAACTGTCTGATGTGTTTGGAATTCTGAAGAAAGTTTATACATTCTAATAGTAGGAAAAACCTCTTCAGCTCTCTCCTGGCCATTCACTATTTGTTATTTTCCCAATGGGCTGAGTTTGTTGGCTCCATGCATTGCCAGGATGTCTTACAGGATTATGCTGGGTGGGAGGAATGAGATCAAAGGTAAAGTGTGCAGTAGGAGATGCTCTTGATTTCTGTTGCTGAAATGGTACAGGAGCATCTAGAAACAACACATATATTGTCTGTTATATTTTCTACATTGACCATTTTACTCTTTTTTTTTTTTTTTTTTTTTTTTTTTTGTAGAAAGGGTACTTCAAATGATTCACAGAACCAGAATTTAATGTGGAGGATGGCATATAATGGATCCTGCGGTAGTATTTGCACATGGAAGTCCAAAAACCTGAAAGGAACATTCCAGTTCAGAGTGGTAGCTGCAAATAATCTGGGATTTGGTGACTATAGTGGAATCAGTGAGAATATTATATTAGTTGGAGGTATGTTACGATGTCTGTCTATGCTCTAACTGGTTACATAAAGGTTCAGAGAGAAAGATAAGTGAATTCTTAACAACAGAAATGAGTTGGATGACTGTATAATTTATCATCTAGACTATGGAACTATTCATTTCATGTGATGTGATCTTCCTAAAACATCAGTGTCCTCATGTCATTTTTCTCTTCAGTAATAATCAGCTACTTCTTAATGCCCGGCACATCAAGTCCGTGTTCCTGGATAGGCTTCCTAGGCTGTGCACAGTCTGGTCTGGATCCTTCCTTTTCCTGATATTCTCACCTGCTACACAACAGGCCTAAAACTATGCTTTGACTCTTCCTCAATATCTTCATCTTCCATTGTGTATCCCATTGTAGGTGGTGCTATATCATCTGTCTGATCACAGAGCCTAGAAATCTCATTACCATATTTAATTGTCCCGCTACTCTTTCACCAAGTTCTATTTATTTACCATCTTGATTTCTGTTTAATGGGGGGTCATCTTCTTATTTCCACTTTGGCTTTCCTAATTTATCATTTCTTGTCTGTGCCCTAGGCTTAATCACACTGCTGATGGTTAATCTAGCTGAAGCACAAGCTGGATCACTTAACCCATCTCTGAAATCCCTAAAACGACTCTCCATTCACTGCCTTCAGAGTCAAGTGGAAACTTGTGTGTGTGACATTTAAGGCCTTCCATGTTCATTGTTCTCAATATTTGCCCCTATGTTGTAGCCATACTGGTAAAAACCTTTTTATGACACTAGGTCTTTAAACTTTTGTTTCCCTCAGCCTAGAATGTGGGTTCCCACCACCTACCATTCACCCCTTAGCTGGATTTTCCTTTCCCTTGCTTTCTGTCAATTGAAATTCTTCTCATCCTTCTCATCCTTCAAGGCCTAAATTAGATGAACCCAGAGCTGTTGCTTAACTGATGATCTTTAGGCAAGATGAATTATTGCATTTCACATACACACAGCCTATATTATTCTATATAATGTTTGCATCATTCTTATTTGTATTATAATTCGTTACCTGGATAAAACCTCAGCAATTTTTTTTCTGAAAAAAAAATAGTTGATATTTTACATTTTGCAGGCTACATCTGATGTCTGTGGCTGCTGTTTCTTCTTCTTCCCATTCTTTTCCTCTCCATCCCCCTCTTTTTTTCCCTTTTTCCCTCTACTCCTCCCCTTCCTTCTCCTTCTCCTTCTCCTCCTTCTTCAAATAATGCTTTAAAAATGTAAAAATAACTCTTAGCTAATGGGTAGTGCAAATCAGACTATGGCCAGACTTGACCCACAGGCTATGGTTTGCCAAGCTCTGCCCTACCTGTCTCACCTCTCCTCAACTGAAACTACCAAGAGAAGGTACCATGTTTCCATGGTTCTATTCCTCAGTTTAACACCTATAGAATTGAATGTAATGCAAGACGGTATAGAAGAAACAATGATTCTGATTATATACTATATGAAGATTGAGATTTCTTTGTTCCAAATTCATTAAAAAGATTATAGGTCTTTCCTCCGCTATTTTTAAGTAGATTGGGTGGGCACATAACAATGGTGTATTGGTAAACCAGATCTTTGGAAAACAAAACAAAACCAAAACCTTGATTTTAATTTCCTGTGGTATTAAGCACTTTTTCTGTGGGTGATTTCAAACTACCAGTGGTTTAACAAGTGGTTTGCAAAAATCTAGTAGGAGCTGGTTCAGGCATATCTGAAACTACCTAGCTTTATTCTGCAAATTTACTTTTTTTTTCATTTATTTTATTAGATGGTTTTTGGATATCAGAAAGAAGCTTTATACTTATTATTATAATTGGAATATTTCTGGTTGTTATAATCTCATTGATTTTTGGTAAGTATAATAATAAATTGATTTAAAAATATAAGTAGTAAACTATTTACTTGATCATATTTAGTTGATTTAGCACTTAGTGTATTTCCCACATGAAATAAATTCACAAATTTCACAGTTAGTTTTGGCTAGATTTTCATAACTACTAACTTCTGTGAATTGTTTTTTTGCTCTTGGAGTAACTATTTTATGAAAAATATATCTGCGCTTATGCTTCATGGTGTACTTTAGATAAAACTGATTATAAGGGCACCAACTTTTAGCTTTCTTTAAAACAGTATTTTGGATTGGCTACATGCCAAGTGCTTTGTGGCTTATAGTTTTAAATAAGTAAAAGAAAAATAACTCTGGATGCAAAAAAAAAAAAAAGTGTAGGATTAATAAGAGACCAGTGACAGTCCTTGCTGGGATAGTTTGGGTCTCTGGGCAGACAGACTGGTTTGGAAGGAATAGCTCTTCCTTTGCAGACAACCCATCTCTGACTTGTAGGGTCCACTCTGGCTTTCAGATGTCTAACTTGCTTATTTCAAATCCCTGCTCATTTATAAATGACCAGGAAAGCAGAAGAATTTGTTAGGTGGATAGAAAGGCAGCTGTTTCTCTCTACTCATTTTTATACTAATGTGCTAGTCCTAAATTTTTTTTTTAAGATTTGGTTTAATGATGAGAAAATATAGGGGCGCCTGGGTGGTGCAGTCGGTTAAGCGTCCGACTTCAGCCAGGTCACGATCTCGCGGTCCATGAGTTCGAGCCCCCCGTCAGGCTCTGGGCTGATGGCTCAGAGCCTGGAGCCTGTTTCCGATTCTGTGTCTCCCTCTCTCTCTGCCCCTCCCCCATTCATGCTCTGTCTCTCTCTGTCCCAAAAAATAAATAAACGTTGAAAAAAAAAATTTAAATGATGAGAAAATATAGTGACAACTCCAGAAATATTGGGGTCAGATATTGAGCCTATAGGGTTATCTTGGTGATCATATATCCTGGATCATTCCTTTTGTTTCAGCATAAACATTAATAGGACTTTCTTTCAGTGCCCCAAATATCCTGGTTTGGATTACAAGATATCATCCTATTATCACTTACTAATATTATGAGTCCCTGACATGCTGAAGCATTATAAGAAAGACACAATACTTACCAGAAAAGAATACTCAAGTACATATTTAGGAAACTTTGGCTTTTTTTTTTTTTTTT